ACAAACCCCATAACAATCCCATTAACTTGCTGAAGCACTGCTTTTGTGTGAGTTATAACTCAGCAAAGATCCCTTATTTCAGCTATAAACAGCACCTGTATCTCCCAGATTAGGGCAGAGGGATATATTTCAAGCCAATTTGAGCATGAAGATTACTGAGACCTTTTTGTTGACGAAGGAAAACACTTCTGGGGCTTAAACAGAGCTCCAGACTGTTGCAGCTTCCACTGGTGCAACACAAAGTGATTGGTATGAGCTGTACACGTGACAAAAAATGGCATTTTCAGGGCGAGAGGATTGGGTCTGTTGCAGAGATAGAATATAAAAATAAAATGGAGACCAAAGCCCTTGGAAGCTGAGGGGAGCTGCAAAGATGAATAGCTGCTCACAAAGCTTTAACCCACCATGGAATGCCAATTGTACAAAGACTAAAGAGTCCAGAACTTCAAACCTAAGTGAGCCTTGAAGAGAATTTTCATTTCTTTAATCCCCAGTAAACATAGCTGGCTGTGGGGCGCAAATAACCTCTCTCCTAATGCAGACCCAGCACCCTCCCCTGCAAATGAAGAGGAAAACAAGTTTTGCTGTCCACACGATTTATGCTCTGGCATTAGGGAGTAAATCCACTGAAATGAGTAAACATGGAAACTGCAAGCACGAATCTCCAGGTAGTTTCAGTTTTGCTCCTTGGCAAAAAGCTCCAGAACCAATTGGCAAGAGGTTTATGGAGTGGGGGAGATTCTCCTAATATCTGTGGGTTTGGACATTAAATTCTACATTTCCATAAAATGGAGAATGCCTATATATCCATCTTATTGCCATTAAAAGTTGCACTAAAGCTGAACCAAAGGCTGTTTTAAAATTAAAACTAGTTATGCCAAATTGTAATTTAAGTCTGAAGAACTAAGCTTCCTCTATTTCTTGAGAAGTGACTAAAGATTGCACCCATTAGTCTGAAAGCTTTCTTCAAGTACTGAATTAATTATTCTCAACAAGGTATTTCAATTTTGGTGGAATGACAGTTTTTCCAACACAAAAATGATTCTCTAGAACCAAGAAATACTGCAATTCAGTTACCTGCATTGGTGTTTACCATCTCTGTTATGGCACATTTTACTCCACCTTCTTTCAACTAAAAGGTGTTTAAAATGCAACTGAAGAGCAAGAACTTGTCAGTGGAAGTCTCCCTCAGCCTGAGGAGGATTTGGCTCCTTAAAGCATTCCCAAAAGGAATTCCAGTCCACATGTGAGGGACAACCAGACACAGCCCACGTGTCTCCAGCCCTTAGTGCTGCCCAGGCTGCTCCCACCAGCCCATGGCCTTTGCAAATTGGCATGGCAACAGGAATTTCTTTACAAGTGGCACCAGGATGGTAAATAAGCATATAAACCCTCCCTGGAGCTGGCAATCATGTCCCTTGAGCTGGCAATAATGTCCCTTGAGCTGGCATGTCCTCCCTCAGTGACAAACATTGCAAGCGAGTCAGCGGCACGTGGGAAATCCTCAGGCAGGGCAAAATCCTGTTAAGAGCCCCCAGAAAAGCACTGGGCAAGGGAAGAAGCAGCTCTAAACCAGCAGCACTGAGCCCTGCTCACACAGAGAGCTCAGCCCTGCTGGAAGAAGGGCTGGGAGAGCTGGGATTGCTCACCTGGGCAGGAGAAGCTCTGGGGCGACTGAACTGTGGCCTTGCAGGGCATGAAGGAGCTACAGGAGAGATGGAGAGGGACTTTTTACAAGGGATGGAGGGACAGGAAAAGAGGAAATGGTTTCATATAGACAGGGCAGGGTTGGATGGAATTCCTCCCTGGGAGGGAGGTAAGGCCCTGGCACAGGGTGCCCAGAGCAGCTGGGGCTGCCCCACTCTTGCAAGTGTCCAAGGTCAGGTTGTGATGCCTCAGGTTTTGGCTTTTATATTTTCAGACTCTGAGCTGCTTTAGTGTGTGGGTCAGGGCTTCACATTAGGGGATGGTGAACTCTGTGCACAGAGCAGGGAGACAAAACAATTCCTGCTCCAGCTGGGCACCAAGGACAAATGACCCAAATCTCAGCCCAGGAGCACAAACAGCGTGGGCTGGAGAGAGAAAAACCAGCAGGATGGGACTGCCTGGGCTGAAGCTGGAATGGGACAATGAACTCCAAGTGCCAATGGAGCAGAACTGATCCCAGGGAGAGCCCCCGGGAGCGCTCGTGCATTTTGGGACCATTTTGGGTCATTTGGGTGCAGCCCTGGCTGGGCTCTGGTGCTGCCCAGGGTGGATCCATGGAGGAGATCCTTTAATAAATCTCTGCTTTATTCTTTAGGTCTGCCCAGCCTCTGCTCTAGGGCAGCCTTCCCAAGGCATCAGTTCACAGGAGTTTTCAGCTATGGGAAGAAAAACTGGAAAGGGGATTCAGATCCATTGATCATGAAACTAAAGAGTTTTAAAACACAAATGCTCAGGGACCATGGGAGGGACAGCATGAATTTTTATGTGCACCCTTGGCAGGAGGACATCAGTTGGACAGGGCTGGAGCAGCTTGGGACAGTGGAAGGTGTGGAGGGTGGCACTGGAGGGTCTGCAGGGTCCCTCCCAGCCCCAGCCATCCATGACTGCACACAGACACTGCAGGTGGAGCAAAGCCCAGGCTGTGGCACAGGATCAGGGCACCAGAGCACTGCTGGGGGAGGCAGGGGGCACCTGCAGCTCCAGCCCCACCCCAGGGGTGAAGCACCAGCTCAAACCGGGCAGAACAAAGCAGGGCCACCCCTGTGCTCAATAAACAGGGCAGAGAATTCCCTGTCCTGGCCAGAAGGATTTGGGGACCCGGGGCTCAGCCGGACCCAGGCTGGCTTGCTGGATTTGCTGCAGGCTGAGCCTGCTGGGAGGTGCTGACAAATACCTGGGAGTGTCCCAGGGAATCCTGCCCTTCCCTGTGTGCCAGGCTCATTTCTCAGCTCACCTGGGGCCACTTCTGCTGCACGTGCAGTTGGAATTCTGCAGCCAGCACTGACTCCACTCCCACAGCCCTTCCACTTCCCATCTGTGCTGGCACACAACACATTGTCAAGTCCAAAAGACTCAATATCACCAAATTTTCACCTAAAATTTTCAATCTTTTAAAAGAATATTTTTCCTTCTGTATTTTTTTTTGTTGTTTGGCTTGGTTTTTGGTGGGTTTTTTTGTCTTTGGTGGTAGTGGTTTTTTTTGTTGTTGTTGTTTGGTTTGGGGTTTTTTTTTGTTTTCTTTTTGTTTTTCTTTCTGTATAAATTCTACTTGTTTAAAGCAAATGTTGCAGATATTTCAGATGCCCCAAGGAAATTACCTGAAGGAGCCCCTCTATTATCTTTTATTTAATTTGATTTTACTTTTATTTAAACAAAATACATGTCTAAAGTAAGCAGAGATTTTTTTAAAAATTACACTGACACATCTTCAGTAAGCAGATTAAAAAAATTCATTTTGACAAATATTCCCAAATTCCTTTCTGTCTGTTTCTCAGGATCCATTTAATAATGTAATAGCCTCAGGAGAAACACTTTTTAAATGTCTTTTACAGTGCCAAAGCAGATCAGTAAAATGCTGTCTGCAACCTGTCAGGTTCTATAGAGATTGTGTCACTTTTCCCCTTCAATATCACACAAATGATGGACAATAAGTTTTATTGTAATCCTCTGTCACTGGAAATAAAAAACCCACAAACTGAATCCATAATTTCCACATTCTGCTCTACAATGGAAGCAACAAAACAGGCAGATTTCCTGGTTTGAGCACTTCATTCCTCCTCAGTTGCATATTCTGCTATAAAGCCAGTAAGCATCTGAATGAATAATTTCTCTGTTAATTCTGCCTGAGATTTCGATTTGGAGCAAGTAAAGAACCAAAAATTGCTAAATCCCAGTGAAATTTGTTCCCACTGAACTGGTGGCAATGCTCTTGTCTCTTAGTGGCAGAAGCACCAACTGCAACTGGCTCTGAAAATCCTCATTTATCAACCAAAGTACTTTCCAATTTAAAAACTGATCTGTTCCAACACACAGCACGGCTTTACAGCCCCATCCCCAATTCCACATCTCCAGTGGGGAACTGCGTAACTTCCAGAACTGCGTAACTTCCATTTATTTAGTTCTTTGCCAGCTAGTTTTTCCTCCTCATTTTAAATCAAAAGTTGCATTTAACAGAGGGTAATCAGCTGACACATCCATTTGATGGCACTGAAGGCCTTACCCCTGAATATCTGTAATATTCCCTTGCATTTCCTTCCTTCTCTGCACTGCTGTGCAGCACATCCACTGCTCCCTGCACATCCCACACACCTGGAATGTTCTACCCGAGCAAACATTGGGACCTGGCAGAGGCAGATGCCTGCCCAGGCTGCGTTGGAAGCTTTTTCTCTCTCATCTCCATCAAGGAGAAGCCAACACCATTCATCTCTGCAGCCAAGAGAGGCCAGGGACACGGAGTTGGATTTAGCTCTTTTCTGACCCAGAGATGGGGTAACTGAGAGGTGTTTTAAAAACTTTTACTCCATTTTTACTCTCATGAGAAGGGTGAGACAATACAAATGTTATAATTCACGCCATCACAATCAGAAGTCAACTATTTTTTAATTCCAAAACACCATAAGCATTTCTTGGCCTATCAGCTTTTTGCCACACCAGGCTGAAGATGCCTTAAAGCCAGTAATCTAAAACTACCCCTCATGGCTCCTACTACAATGCATCTTTCATAGTTCTAGTTCTGTAAAGTACCTAGTTTATTTGCAAGACCGTCCTTAGAAACTTGTTTCTAGTTCAAAAGTCCTCCTCCATGGCATTTCTAAGCCAGAATTTCTTATCTCAGGGTTTGCACACCGCGTGAGCTTTCTGTCAGGCTTGGAGAATTCTCTACAAATCCATTGCCCACGAAGGGATCTGTGCACCCCCCCCCCAGCAGTCACCTGTGCTCAGACTTCAAGCCCAAGGGACTCTGGCAGTTTTTGCCAGCAGAAAGGCACCCAGCCATGCAGCCACGGTCCTACCTGGGGGTCGGAGAGCCGGGAGATGTCGGGGTAAAGGTAGAACTTGATGCCCTCGGAAGCGCCGGGTAGCGTCACCCCCCGGATGAGGAGGATCATCAGCATGATGTAGGGGAAGGTGGCTGTCACATACACAACCTGGGGGAGGAAGCAGACATCAGAAAAGGTTGTTCTTCCAGCTGCAGAAAAACCTTCTTTTCACATCAGCTGGAGGAAAAATGCTTTGGGTGTCTTTGTGCAGGTTGGTTTTTGTCCTCCAACCAAATTCCCTTCTAAACTCTTCAGGGCTTGTGGGAGATGTCAGCATTTTTTGATAGAGATTGGGAAGCTCTCTGTAAGTGTATTTCCAAACACATGATAACAGGTAATTGATTACATGTTATAACACTATAAGCAATGGATTCTCAGTCACCCCAGAATTGCTAAACTGATTTCTCTTCAGTCTGCTCTGCCTGCATGTCTGGGTTTCAGGAATAAGCATTTCATCAAACCCAGATGTTGAATTCTATCCATATTTCCTTGGGATTTGATAGAGAACCTTTATCTTCCAAAGAACCTTCAGGCAAAATTT